TTACTCACCTGCCCTCCAAATTCACTAGATTAATGTCCCACTGAAAATTAGAAAAGGGGGAGAGGGACCTTAGGAACTTGTTCCAAGAGATAGAAATAAACTTGCTTCCAGTTTCCAAATCATACAAACACCTTTTAATAAGAGACTCAGAATTGCCATTAGATCACAAGCCAAATCAATATAATGTCTTCATAATTACTAATGGAGATGTTACAAAAAGTTTAATATAAAATTTCATATATATATATAGTGATTGCATAGTTTTGATATTTCGCGATTTTTAAAAATTATTCTGATTTGAAAATTTTTTCAAATAATTGTTTTATCACAGCTTGTAATGCATGTTTTCTGGTAATTCCAGGTTTATATAACTTACAAAATAACATTTACATAGGTGGGTAAAGTAGTACTAGGAAGCTAAGCAGTTTTTTTTTTTTAATACAGCATGTTCTGTACATACTTTTTCACAGTAAACAGTTTACAAAGTAAACTACTACTACTACAGTTTTACATAGTTTTTTTTAAAAAAACTATTTAAAAGTTGGCAAAAGAATTCACCATGTCTTTACCTTCCTGTCATTTAATATCTGACAGACAGAGCAGACAGCCATAATTCTAGATTAAGTCATTAGCAGTGATACCAACTGAAACATACTGGGATACTGTCAATCTATACACACAAGTTTTTAACTCAGGTTTTTTGCTTTCAGTTTTAAGCTGCATTTTAATTTCATTTTCCTATTTGTTTACATGAGAGATTCTTTCAGCAAAATATTTTAGAAGCAAGAATCTTGAAAAGTTACCAAAACAGATCAGTGCCGAAGAGGTAAGTGACAAATTTCAGATGTGATGATGGTGAATTTAATAGTTATTGACAATAATTACCCAAAAGACAAAAATGGATGAGTAGTTAATTAAGCTTCAAAATAAAATTGGCTCTACTCTTATATGCACCCTAATATCACCAAATGTGGCGATATGTGTTCTGTGCTAGTTTTTAGCGTGATTGCGTGTTGTATGGCAATCCTGTCGATGTTGAAAAATCTTTGGTGGAGTGGTTTAATTGCTCGTTGGTTTGTGTCATGCGTGTTTTGAAATGGCCTATGTTGCAATGATAAACGTGGTGGCAAGATTTCAGTCACGTATTTTAGATTGTGTGGAAAGTAAATTTAGTATTAAAAGGTACGATGTTGGAGTTGTTAAGGAGTCTTTTGTTCACAGGTGTGTTTATGAGGATTGAAGTGTATTTTTGGAATTTCTGTGGGACTTTTAAAACTAAGTCCGAAATGCAGAGCTGCTATGAGAACTCGGACGAAGAAGGGTGCTTCTGATAATTCTTGTGTGGATTTGCAGTTAAATGGTTGCTGGTAAAGTATGTGGCTGTCAGAGGAGTTTAAGATTTGGATTGAGGTTCTGTGTAGTATGTTAACTTTGGAGGAACTTTTTATCTTTACTTTCGAAATTTTGAATCTCAGAAAGACATGTGATATAGCAAAATCGTGGCACTTTTCTTCAGAGACATTGTGTGACTGGCGAAATTTTTTTCAGGAATGTATTATGGTAAGTGCATTTTATTTTACTGCTTTTATTTTGTAGAATGTTATGTTTATTGTTTTTTACTATAAATTTCTGTTGTTATTGGTTTTTTTTAATTGTTTGTAATTTAGTTTATTTGTGCACAATGCCTAGATTGTGCAGTTCGTAAATGATTTTTTTTTTTTTAAGTTTATACAGAATGCTGTGTACATGGTATTCTTTGAAATTTATAGTTGTTATGTTAATTTATTGAAACGAGGTGTGTGTAGTTCGTAGATTCTTTTGCTGCCTAGAATGTGCAATTCGTAGATTTTTTTTAAAGTTAAAACGTATTGCTGTGTACACAAATTCTTGTCTAATATTTTTGGTTAGAAACTTTTACTTTTGCTATCTAAATTTTTTGTTTTGGTTTCGAATTTGTAGCTTAAATTGTGTCTTCAAAACGTGGTTTTTGCATTTGCGAAGACCGCGTTTTTGGAGACATTTTTGGCTAAAAATTCAAAATGCAGACAAAAAATTTAGGTAGTAATATGTGGCGACCTGAGGGCACATATAAAAGTAGTTCCATAAAATTTTCATTGGGAAGGGAGTACAGATCAAACATTCTAAACTCGTGAATTTTGAAAAAGATTTGGAATGTGAAAACTAAATCTTTGTGGATTTTGGAGGGAGAGGAGGGGTCATTCAAATCTTATGCTGAAAACAATTCAACTTTTAACACAGAACTTGGAAAGATTAGTTGATAGTTACCTATTAGTGCAACCACAACAGCAGTACTTGCCAAATTTTAGGAGTGTGCCAAATGCACATAACAATTCTTAACAAGCAGCAGTGCCATTTCTGTATGCTTTCTTTTTGTTCTATTCCAATACAATGGCTTTCATAGGTAAATCATATTTTTTAATTGTCTAATTTAAAACAAGAATTTGTGGAATTCATCTGCAATGGAAGAAACTGTGGTTCTACTTCTGCAGGAGCACAGTCTTTTATCATAAAATAGCTAAAGGGGACAGCTTTGAATTAGTTTGTAAAGCAATCGCCATGAAATTTTCCATAGAACAAAAGAAAGAAACGTAGGCATGCCAACTAATTTTCTGGATAAGTATTGAATTAAAATGTAAAACAAGTATGAAATAAATAGTCTTTTTACAATTACATATCATTCATTTTCTTTAAGAAATTGCCAAACTGTACCAAGGTGGTAACACTAATACATGAGTATCGATTAGCTTTACGAGTATCCAACAGAAAAACGTCATTTAAAAAAGCATAGTTATTAACAGCTACGTTACTAATACCAACTTATGGAGGTCCCAAGCTCCATATTTGTAACTTACTCATGAAAGGTTAGCATCCTTCACTTATTTCCCTTTTGTCTATTTAAATCATATTTTTTGATCAAAACAATACAGAATATTTCTCATCTTTAAAGGACATGGACTTGTGCTACACTCCTTCAAAAGGATAAAATTTTCAATAAAAATGTTATTGCTGAACATTGCCTAATTTTAAAATTCTGACTGGTATGCATATCTTTCATCTATTTGATTTATTCAAATGAAAATGGGACAACAGCAAGCAGTAAAAATATTCCCTGCCATTATAAAGAATGCCTATTATTTTTAAATGCAGTATTCTGTCACCAGATGTTATGAGACAGAAATAGGTTTGTGACATTACGCAGAAAGGAACAACCATGTGCAGTACCACAGCATGCAGAACGGGTTCACCATCAGTTAGGTGACAGGAGTGCTGCATAAAAATAGCATTTCAATATCAAAATTCTTCAGTAAATAAAAACATGTGATCTTATTCTTTTTATCACAATCAGAAAGGAAGGTCAGGTCAATCTAGTACTACAGCAAATGGTCCTATGCAAGGCCCATTCAAAGGCTTTCTTTGAATCTTAAAACAACTTTGGCACCTCACAGACTTCCTATAATCTAACTTTTTGATGCGGTCCTACCAGCGGCCGAGCGGTACAGTCGCTGGTACAGTACAAAGTCTTTAATCCGGACATCAAAGCTACACACTTTCTGCGCATGCATAGCGTTTACGCATGCACGTTTAACGTATAATGGACGGTATAAGCTAGGCTAAAATTATCTAATTATCTATTTCAGTTAATGTTGCAGATTGTGTTGTTCCTTAATCTTCTAACTGGATCCAACTTATTATTTTTTGCAGACTGTTATAGCAATTTTATAAAAAGTAAGCTTGAACTTTTGATTATGTCAAAAAGAGTTTTCGATTCTTGAGCTGCCAAAGGGATCTACAAAGCGACAGCATGTTTCAATGTCCATCAAGCAAAAAGTAGAATTGCTGCAAAAAATGGATAAAGGCACGAAGAAAATGACTGACAGGTTAGTGAAAATGAAAAAATTTCGATTGACAAGTTAGTCGTATAGTGGTAATGGATTAGTACAACAGGGCATTAGTAAAAGGCCATAAACAAGATGTGTTTTAGCAAACATTTCCTGTCTTTGTTACACCAACAGTTTCAAAAACTACCAGCTAAATAAGGTTTTTAACAACTTAAGAATACTCTTTTTTCCAGATTAAAGTATACATGAGTACAAATAAAAATACTAGAATAATAATGATAACTTAAAACACATATTAATATAATTAAAATTTGCAACATAGCAACATCACAAATCAGTTTCTCCGCTATAATATTCAATTAAATGATGACTACATTTGAAAATATGTAGCCATTCTATATCCTAATGCAGGAAATTTTCAGCACTGTCATCACCTTTCCATTTAACCAACCAAATATTATGACAGTAACAAGCAGGGAGCACTAGAGCCAGTGAAGGTCATGCCAGGTGGCCGAATTTAGGGATGGCAAAATGTTTAAAATTTAAAGAGAAACCAGGTGGAAGTATTCAAAAGTTGTAGATTTCGCACTGGGTGGCAAAAAGGCCTAGCATCAGACCTGATAACAAGCTTAAGGCTTAAAGGTCTTCTGTTTCTACGGTAAAAAATACTGATTGAAAAGAGAGTATAAAGGAATTCAATTTCAAACATAAGCATATTTTTTGACAATGCGAGTAAAATACAGGAAATACTGCAGCAGGAGGGAGCAGCAGACTGAGGATATATGAACTCTTTTGAATTCAATCTGTAAGCTGTGTTTAGAATGTTCTTATGTTCCTTTTTCTGACATATGCAGACTAATGTGCAACCCATTATGAAAGAACAGAAGCTGCTAGAACAGATGATTTTTTTTAAAACAAGGTACTCAAAAAATGCAGAAATTAATGAAATATATTTTTCTATTAATTACTTTCAGTTTCTTATGTTTTATTTCTTTTTTGGTCATAAATATAGTTCAGAACATTTTAAAAAGAATGCACAGATCATTTAAAAACATTCTATTTTAAACATTTGTGCTAAATTTAGAATAGTTACAATATGAATGAAGTTAAAAAATAACCAAAATATCCCATTCAACTCACTTTTAATTTGAGAGCCTTCATTGGGCATAACTGTACCCTCTCCTTTTTCCAAAATCTTCCTTAATATACCGCTGTCTTTTTTGGGACTCAGATCTTCCAATTTCCATCCATAAAGTTCCACTTCAAACAAGAGTGGAGTGTATGGTGGAATAGTAGGAGGGTAACCCATTTCTCCATAGGCATATTCGGGTTGACAAATAAATAAGGCCACTTCACCTTTCTTCATTGTAGAAATACCCAAATCCCATCCTTTGATAACTTGACCTGTAAATGTAAAATTATGCTGAATAATTATTCTATTTATTAATGAACTCAATCATTGAAAATAAATCATGTGAAGCTTAATTTTGCAAAAGACATCTTCAAATTCTACGCTTTCCGTAATGAAAAAAAAGCTGATATTTATAGTGGCTGTCTGAAAATTTTCAAACACAGCTATATCTTTCAAATATGGAATAAAGAAATTCAATTACAGTTAGAAATATAATTATTATATTTTTGACTTCAGTTTTGTAAAAAAATATACTATGCATATATATGTATATATAATGCCCTTCCTCCTAATGAAGAAAATCTGCAACAAATTGTTAAATTATGGAATTAAAAACTATGGCTGATGTAAGGATTTTTGGCACTTTCTGATTATCTGCACTCCCATCCACATTGAAAAATCATAAACTATAAGGTATTTCTCCCGCCTTCTTAGCATGCTTTTGTGATGAAAGAATTTCTAACAGCAGCAAATCAAGACCAAAAACTCTTCTTAACATGCATATTTTGCTTGTTAGACCCACTTTTGAATATGCTGCCCCCCGTATGGGCAGCAACTTCATCTTCTGTAAAAGAACAGATCGACAGGGTTCAATACAGGACCCTCCAAAATCATCACTGAGCTATTTCATCCACAAACAACATTAAAAAAAAAAAAAAAAACGAAACTGAGTGTGGTCTTACCTCCTTAGAAATCAGAAGAAAATTACCAACCATCATATTCACAAACAAAATTTGGAGCTTTGCAGATCATCACATCTCCAGCAAAACATTCAAAGCATGGAGTGGAAAAAATAGACTGAAAAGGTTCTCCACCTTACAAATGGACTATGAGACCAGAAGAGAAACTGATTTAGAGCATGAAGCTATTCATATAATTTAAGAACCTCTACTTTTCATATATCCCTCTCAACTGACAATTATCAACTTAAATCTCTTACAGCCTTGGACCAAAAAAGAATCAGCTGCACTAAAGAGAAAGGCACCCCAACCATAAATGAGCTTACAAACCTAGCTAGTGCCTACACAGCTGGTTCCTCTGACATCAACCTCCATAAAGGAGGCACTGGTATCTATTTTATACATGCAAATGGCGAACATGAGCCGCATAAAAGTTCTACTGGAGCAATTGCCTCTGCAAATTGGTAGCTATAGAGGACGCTATGGATATTTTTCACTCCAAAGCAGTTCAGAATTCCTGTGGCGTCATAATTTTCTGATTCTAATTCTGCACTCCAGGCAGTCCTAAGGGGCAACTCTCAACTTGCCCAGGACATTGTTGTGCTCATAAGCATAATAATATCTGTCCCCAAAGCCTACATCCTACAGCGGATTCCAGCACATGTCAATATTTCTGGCAATGAGCAAGCTGACTACCTCGACAAAGAAGCCTAAAATTGTACTCAAGTTTCCAACCAGTTTAACCCTTGTCAATGCAGATGCTGTAGCAAGTTGAAGACTGATCTCCAAACAAGCAAAGAAAAATTGGCTGATCTTTGGAATATGGTAACTGGTAGTTTGGCGACATTTTGGAGGCGATAAAGGTTACTACCTAGGACTTTGGTAATAATGTGAGCAGTACTCAGTTACAATTACGCATTATTTTGTGTGAGGAAATGAGAGATCATGGATATGTCATTTGATCTTAATGGACGAATTACAGTTCTTTAATCGAAAAAGGGGGGATTTGGAAAAATATCTGTAGCATATATTATTTAGTATTAAGCTTCATTGTGTGCTGTGTGAAGTAGTGTTGAATATTTTCGATTTATGGCTGTCTAATAATATTTTAAAGATCCTGAAACAGGTGCACATACCAGTTTCAAGGGCACGTGTAGTGCTATAAAAAGCGCCATTCCGTAGCATTGTGATAAAGAGAATTTTGCTTTTTTTTAGCAAAGGAAGTGTAGAGGAAAAATTCGCAGAAAAAATCTTTCAATAATTTTATTGAATCCATTATAAAAGTGTATCCACCACGTAAGCAAAATTCTGAAGAAGATTAGGTAAGTTAGTATTTTTTAATTTTTGAGGATATATTTTTATGCATTGTTGTTCTAAATGTAGGTGGAAGTAAGTAATTTAGTATTATTGGAAAATTGTTATTAGCAATGATTTAGTTTAAAGTAATAAGGATGTAGCTAATTTTTTAATTTAATGTATGTGCTTATTTATATTTTAAGTAGTGTTTTTTAATTTATTATATTTTAATTAAATAATAGTTATTTTGAATTATATGTTGTAGAATTTGGTATACGTTAGAGTGCAAGTAAAACGTGCATGAAATAATTTAAATATTTGACACTAAGTATTTGTAACCATTTGTAATGTTTGGCGGTATGAATTAGTTGGTGACGTTGTATATAATAGATAATGTAGAGGTAAAAGTTTTTGGATATTTTATTTATTTTTATACTTAATGTTCATATTTGGAAAGGGTATATACTTCTTCTTCGCGATCAGGTAATTTCATACATGTTCTTTTTACCGGGTTTTAAGATTCAGAAATTGTCATGCATTTCGTGAAAATTTTTCTAATTTATGAGAAAAACGCAGTGACATGGATATAGTGAAGAGTGTGACATGCCATTTTTGTGCAATTCTGGGATGTTTTTCTTAAGTAAAAATAAGTCGACGTGTACATGGTTTAGTGATATTTTAATTAAATATAGTTATTTTGTGATTTTATGTTTGTAGTAATTTGGTATACGTTTAAGTTGAAGTAAACGTTCATGGAAATAATTTAAATATTGACACTAAGTATTTGTAATGTTGCGGTATAAATTGTTGGAACTTTATAAATAATAGATAATTTAGAGGTAAAAGTTTTGGATATTTTATTTATTTTTAAGTGGAAATGTTCATATTTGGAAAGGGTATTACTTTTTTCGCGATCAGGTAATTCATATATGTTATTTTTTTTACCGGGTTTAAGATCATAAAATTGTCATGTTTTTCTAATTTAGAAAAAAAAGCATTGTACATGGATATTGAAGAGAGTGTGCGCAATGCCATTTTTGTTCCTTGGATGTTTTTTAAGTAAAAATAGTCGACGTTGTACATGGTTTAGTGTATGTGTTATTCTGAAAACGCGCAAGGAGTTGCTATTGTGCACTTTTTTCCCAATTTGCAGTGAATATTGTAATGATTAAGCATTTTTGCTAGATAAAATTCTAGCATAACTGAATTGGGCTAGTAATTGGGTTGAAAAGTGTTGAATAAAAAAAAAAAACATATCTTTACTTCGTGAAGACAAAATGGCGGTGGAAAAAAAAAAAAAAAAATAGAGGGTTGCTGTAGCAGAGTTGGTCGCCAAATTTTCGCCAAAAAATCGCCAAGTTACCATAATCCAAAGATCAACCAAAAAATTCTATTCCTGAGATAAACTGCAACTGGATTTTTTCATCTACCATGGCCAGACTGAAAACAAAACACTTTAAAGGAATGAAAATATCCTTGAATGGTCAGTTATAATTGTTAAGTTATTGCTACCATCACTGTCCTTGATCTTTGACTGTCCTGCCATACTGGCTCAGCTCTTCAGAATTGGTTTTATCTCCAAGAAAGTGCCGGCTCCTACGTTCTTCGAGGATCATTGAGTCACTAGGGCTGTTTTAGATAGTTTTGGCCCTATTTGACCTTTCTGCACTAACTTTTCGACAAGACAACTACAAGAACACAGCAGCAATCCAATCTATTACTAATTTTGAAAAATCTTTCTTAAAGGATTGTATAAGATACAGATATTACAAACCTCCAGATCAACAAACTTCTTACTTCTTACCGCAACTTTACTTCATTTATTTGCCTATAAAACAGCTGCATTTAAATTGGGACCATCTAACCCAGGGATAAGTAACTTTAAAGGAGAAAGATTTCTATCATCAATAGCATTTTTTTACCTTTTTACAAATGCTATTGCCCTTGACTTTTCCCATGATAAGGGTTTGTTAGTGATGATTAACCACCTTGTGCTATCATTAGACCAGCTGTGAACAGTAGTTGGAAGCTTTTTATGACCACTTGCATTTTAGTTTCATAATAACAGAGACTATAAGACCTGTCAGAATTTACATATTAGTATAACCACCTGGACAGAAGTTGCCAGAATTTCAGAATGTGCTCAACCTGCTTTAATGCACAAAATAATATTTCAGTTCTAATAAACACTGTTGAAATTTTCCATATGCATTTCTTTTATTGAATTGAAAGTAGCAACACTTTTTATAAACAAATCATGATATATGTTGTCTTAAATTTAATTTTAAAACATGCACTTGCAGGAGTTGCTTGCAATAAAATTTTTAAATACATTATGTGTCAACAAAATGATTTAAAGGAAAAACTATTTTGAATCTAATCTTAAAATGATCTCCACAAAATTTGCCTTTCACCACTGGTAGATCATTTCCTTCTTCTTTTCCAAAACTCAAAAGATACATATAAATTTACTGGATTATTTTTTTAATAGCACAACAGAAAGCATGTGAAGTCAGGCTGACCACATCCCCTCTCAAACTATGAAATTCCCTTTTGGACGAGAACCCCTGATCTAGCTGCATTCTTTGCAGAATTCCATGGCTTAACTTGAAAAATAAATCTTACAAGAGCTACATATAAAGGGCAGAGCTAATATCATCTTAGAAAAATTTGAAAAATACCAGGTATTTCAAGTTTCAGAGACAAGAATTTGTGGCAGTTTTCAAAGTTCAAAATGCTATAACATTCAATGTCAGTTCATAGAAAGTTTTATAATCTTTTCTCTCTTAAAAATGCTTCGTTTTTACAAATTAATGTTACGTAGATGAATGGGGTAGCTGTGATTTAAACTTATGTGACAGATGTAAATAGTAAACAAGCATTTCAGTTTAAAATTATTATGATGTATGTACTTCGTGATCTGAAAGATTTAATGAATTTTTTAAATATTCTTTAATTATGAATTAGTTCAGCCATATTGCAGTAAAAGTGGTTATAAACAATATTTCATTTCTCATTACCTAAACATTTGGTTAAATTCTTCATTTTACTTGGGATTTCTATACGGAAGTCATGCAATGGTAAAATAATAGTGAACTGTCCAACACCAGATCATGTTCAATTATTTCTTGAAGCTCAACTAATCTGATGAAGTGGAAATGCTTAGAATAAGTAACAGCAGAATAGCAAATTACATTTCACATAAAATGAGGGACTGGGACTATTACGTTCTGAAATCTGTGAGGGTTAAAATGTGTCTTAGATTGCATGAGAATGTGTTGGAAGTTAAGCACAATGAGAAATATGTATCAGAATAACAAAATTGCTTCAACTGCACATTAAAAATTAGAGAAACTGAAGAAAAGGATTTCATGAAAAAAGTAAAATTTTAACAACTAGTAGATAACCAGTTTGCTATTGCCTCAACCAATATTTTAAAATGATCATAAAGTTTAGAAATACTTCATAAAGAAATCTAAAAAAAATCCACAAAAAGGCAAAAGTAAATAGTATAGATATGAATGAATTTTTATTTACTTAACTCATCAAAACATACTGAAACAGTGAACAGTATAAAAACTGTAATCATGTGCCTTCTCTCTCCTAGTCCCTTTAAAAAGTAATGTTAGGTATCTTAAATACCCAAATTTAGGTAAGGCACATATATTTCCAAAAAAAATTTAATGAATGGTTCAGATAAACAAGAAGCTAACTGACTTCCCTTTCTAGCATAAACTACAAATGTGATTATTACACTTATAAGTGAGAATAAAAATTCACAATCTAGATACATAAAACTGGACAAACGAAAGAAAGATTACTTCTCTTGTTCTTTAAATTATATTAACATATTTGGACAAAATAAAAATTGTTCTAGAAATATAAAAGCATCTTAATAAAATTATACACACACAAATATATGCACACACATACATGCATACACACACTTATAAAACTGGTCCTAAATTTCTTACTTTATGTCTTTACTGATATTAAGCAGCTTAATGCGCGAAAATACCATGATTATATTAGATTTTAAAAAATTGTAATGTCATTATATATATGTTTGTTTAATCAGTTACGGATTAAATAAATCATACCTCGTCCAAGACTAAATTCGCACTTTTCTCCTTTACGATTACTGTCGAACATAACAGGTTTGTCTTTGTTATTTAACAGCCATCCTGTATAATGAACATATACTCGATCTCCATAACCTGGGCACTCATCGCCTTCTCCAGGTTTTATTATTTGTTTCATTACACCTCCGCTTTTTTCAGGTGTAATATCAATTGTCTCTATAACTAAAGGTTCTTCATCTTCTGAATTTTCAGTTCGGATGCTCTCAAGATCCTGATCGTTATTCGATAAATCGTCAGTATGGTTAACTGGATTTAAGGTATCTGAATTTTGGTTATCAGCAGCTAAATTATATGTTGAATTCATACCAAATTCAGAATCATTTCTCCTCTGATTATGCTCAAAAGAAGAAGATATAAATTCTGACTGATTCGGTAGAGCATTTTCTATGGAATTTTCTTCCATAATAACGTTGCAAGCAAAGTAACTTTACTTCAGTTGCTATACTGCAAAAATGAAATGGGATGCAAGTGACCAAGTGAGTAAATCTATCCTTGGACACTCTCCATGCAGCACATGAATACCATAAAAGAATAAAAATAAGTTAGCTCTGGAAAACAATTTTCAGAATTCAGATGAGCCTTATGATCAGTCAGTAAAACAGAAAAAACACTACCGCATACACTGTATGAACCGCGACGAAGTAACAACCAATCGGATGAAAGATTATTTGTTATGCAGTTAAAGTGTTAGTTTCTATTTTTATCCTTCCTGAAATAGAAAATAAGCAGAGTGAATTTCCATGAGAAAAGGAAGTCTCAGAATTCAAGTGAATTTGCGTTATTGTGTACCTACGCAGGCGATCGCTTGCTTTTAATATTTTGTTTTATCTTTTTAGATAGTAATTAAAGTATAATATTTCTAACGAAGTATTCGATACATTGTGGAAATAAAACTCACACCTTTTGGAAATACTGGGAGTATTGGAATAGCATTTTTACATTGTACAGTCATTTTTTTCTCATATTCAGCAAATGAATCCTGAATCCCTAGTGCATAAGGCTCCTAGCTATACGCCAGGCTGAATTACCAACCTTTCCCTCTTGACGAAAAAGGCAAAGAGCTGCCAGTTTTGGCGCATTCATCGCAGACACTAGATAAATGTCTACTGTTTTTTAAAGTTGATTTTATAGACGCGTGGCATTCCGCGCATATAAACTTTTCGGATAATTTATTAGTTTTCAAACAGTATATAGACGAAATGAAAATTTAAATAAAAATTTCACGTATACTTTGTAAAGCATATTCAAAATAACTTATGCTTTAGATGTTTCAGCTTAAGGCTTCATTCAATTGAAACATTTAGTGGTGGTTAGCTGTGATATGTCATCAGATGCAATTGATTTTGAAGTTTTGCTATTAATTGAATCCCTACGATCACTCTCAGCTCCCGATCGACCGTTCTCGTAGCGATCACTCCGAACCCATCATTCCGCGGCAAAAACGATCGAATCAATATGGCGGTTGTGTTGTTTGTGCTTTCACGAAGACAGAATTCAAGTGTGCTAAGGTACTTAGAAAATCAAGGGCAATCCTTTAGATTTACTATATGGGCAGCAATATATATCAAAGTATAGGGTTTATAAGGATCCTAGCAAAGGGAGCCAACTCAACTTCTGTGTACTATCCAAATGAAGCGCACTTGTTCCTAGTAGACAATAATTTAGCCTTTTGTTGTTTTATATTTGTATTCATGGATTGCGACCTAATTCCGAGAAATATGGCTGGATGCACTGCAACAAATTATTCACATCGTTCTAGAAATAACTTCCAGTATGTTCTGTTTTCAGAGAAATGAAGAAGTATGAAGAAAATGGGTAATAAATTCTCGTCCATTGGAATGGGTTTCAAACACAGGAGCGTGCGCTTTTGAAGTAAGTTCAGGTTCGTATGTTTCCATAATTACAAAAAACGTAAGTGTTGATGTTTCAGCAAAATGTGTATTTACATTTAAGTATTGCTAATTAGTGACAAATTGTACAAAATGAATTGTACAATGTGTCTGTATAGTCAATACACAGATACTGACGTAAACACGTCGATGGCGATGTGATTTTATTTTATTGTTATTATAGCAAATGGTTAAAGTTTAAAGAATTATATTTTCCATTCGATTTCAAATTTGTGTATGATTATAACTATGAAGTCCGCTTTTTAATTAAATTTTAAGGCGGGATTCATGGTTTAAAATAGACTGTTATTTTTTATCCTGATTTATTGCCGCCAAATCTGTCAGTTGACCCCAATGCAAAAAAAAAAAAAGAGAAAAAGTGAACATTGGATAATATGATTAAAATTAGGTCTTATATAATATTACCTTTAAAGTAACCTAAATTACGAATTATCTTCATTTGAAAAATAAACATCACTTTAGATTTGACGAATAATTTGTCTGTATTACATCCGTAGACTGATTCCAGCTCCTTATTTAACTGCATTCCTTTCATTTTATTCCCATGTTAACATGAATATGTTTTAAAATGCTTACAAGCTTAGTCACCATTCTTTATAATTAGTTTTCATATCATAATAAATTTCTTAGATAATTGCATTCCTATTGTAATTAAAATATTTAATATAATCTACTTACTGTAATTTAATACTTTTGATTTTAGTGTTCTCAAAATGTTGCTAAATCAAGTTTATTTTTGTGTGACCTTGCTTCAAAGGCGCCAATAATAAATCTGTTTTGGCGGTTCACTGCTAAAAGTTTTAATGAAAAATTTATTACCGATGTAAAAGAATGAAAAAATTATATTTACTTGGTAATCAGTGTCTTATGATATTGCAGTGACTTAAAGGGCTTCTTATTGTTTCTTAAGTTGCATAACGTCTTTTTATAACTTCTTGTGATCTTTATGTCTTACTCTTCTGTGTTATCAAAGAAATATAAAAGGTGTATTTCTAAACAAATATCATTCCATTCATGTCAGTGTTATGTACCATGATGTGATACGTGTTGGCTTTTATTATATAGTTAGCAATATTATTCATTATAGAGTTTTATATATTTATTATAGCTATTTAATTCATATTATTATGTATTATGTAATGTTTCCTTATATTCCATTGTATTTTTGGAGTTGTTAATAAAGCTATAGTGTATACTTTCTTTTCGTTCACTTTAAAACGTCTTTTGAATCACTTTTTTTTTTTCAGTATGCATACAAAACTTACTTGACCTATATTTTTCATACGTTAATGTGATTATGCGAATGGAGTGTGTCTTTTAGGTTAGCTATTTTCATAATGGAATTAAAATAAAATGATATCCTTTAAAGACGTTTCATAGATAAAACTTTGAAACAAAAGCGATGAAAAGCCAAAGAGGGCACACCAAACCTGAACTCAACCCTAAAGAAAGGTTACGACACGGCCGTCACCACCAACGAGATAATATACTGTTATATGAAGTCATTGGTCACCACCGACACGGCTGACGAGGCGAACTGCATATCTAGGAGCTATGTCATTGGTTACTTCCGAAAACAACGCAACTTTCGACCAGGTGACAAACAGCATAACGCATTCAAGTAACCTCTGGTCTATATTTGACCGAGCGACGTTGCCGGTTCCAAAATTAAAGCCCAAGGGTACTTTACATAAAGAAATCCGGACGTGGAGAAAATCTCAGATGAGAAAACGGAGAAAAAGCGGAAGAAGGGACTACCAAAAGCAGCAAGGTACTACCAAAAGGAGCAAGACAATCCAATCAGACAAGTTCGCAAAACGTGACGAGCGAATCAGAGCTTTCAAGAAGGACCCAAGACAATGCAAATCAATGACAATAATATGAGAAAGATACTCTACAGCAAATCCTATAGAGAGCTCCTATAAAGTATCTCTAGTAGCTCTACCTATGGCAACCCGTACGAGTCCGACTGGTAGGGAAGTGTTTGAATTGAATACGAAAAATCTCTCGTTTTCAAAAGTGATCGCTAATGCTGGATGTAACGATCGCTGTTTGAGTGATCACTGATAAACACTCATACTTATATCTATGAAAAGTCTTCAAAGAGTATCATTTTATTTTAATTCCTTTACGAAATTAGATAACCTAAAAGACACATTCCGTTCATATAAATCACATGAACATGCAAAAAATATAGGTCAGGTAAGTTTTGTATGCATACTGAAAAAAAAGGGGGATTCAAAAGATGTTTTAAAGCAAAAGAAAAGAAAAATGTACATTATAATTAATGTATTAATTTAATACATTCAAAAAGAAAGATTATATAATACATAATGATATATATTGGGTATATATTATAAATACATAAAACTCTATAATGATTATGTAATAAATGCCAACACGCATCACATCATGGTACATAACACTGCCATGAAAAGAAGGATATTTGATTGGAAATATTCTTTTTATATTTATTTGAAAACATAGAAGAGTAAAACATAAAGATGACAAAAAGTTATCATAACAAGTTAAGCAACTTAAGAAACAATAAGAAGCCTTTTATGTTATTGGAATATCATAAGACACTGATTAACAAGTAAATATCATTTTTTTCGTTCTTTTACATGAGTAAAAAGTTTTTCATTAAATATTTTAGCAGTGACTGGCCAAAACAGATTTATTACTGGCGCCTTTGATGCAAGATCACACAAAAATAAACTTGATTTAGCAACTTTTTGAAAACATTAAAATCAAAAGTATTAAATTGCAGTAAGATATATTATTATTAAATTATTTTAATTACACATTAAGAATGCAATAAATTTTAATTATGATATGAAAATTAAATTAAATTAAGAATGAGTGACTAAGCTTGTAAAGCATTTTAAAACATATTTCATGTTCATACATTGGGAATAAATTGACAAGGAATTGCAGTTAAATGAAGGAGCTGGAAATCAGTCTACATGATGTAATACAGACATAATTATTCGTCAAATACTAAAATTGATGTTTACCTTCTTCAAAATGAATATAAATGCGATATATTTATGTTACTTTAAAGGTAATATTATATAATGCATAATTTTAATCATATTATTCGATGTTTACATTTTTTCCTACATTGGGGCCAATTGACAGATTTGGCGGCAATAAAACAGGGTCAAAAAGTAACATTCTATTAAAACCATGAAACTCGCATTAAAATTTAAATAAAAAGCTCACTTCATTGTTATAATCACACACAAATTTGAAATCGAATGTAAAATATAATTCTTTAAACTTTATCCGTTTGCGATAATAACAATAAAATTAAATAACATTATAAGGTATTTCTCCCACTTTCTTAGCGTCCTTCGTGGTGTAGTGGTTCTGCACGCTGGGCCGGTATTCCTGAGGTCCGTGGTTCGATTCCCGGCGAAGGCGGTTGCATATTTTTCATCTTTTCTGCTTCCAATTAACCTAATGTCTCTACAACATCGCCATCGACGTGTTGACGTCGGTATGTGTGTATAGACTATACAGACGCGTTCTGCAATTCATTTTGTACAATTTGTCACTAATTAGCAATACTTAAATGAAAATACACCATTTTTCTGAAACATCAACACTTACTTTTCTAACAATTATGAAAACATACGAAGCTGAACTTACTTCAAAAGCGCATGCTCCTGTGCTCGGAATCCATTCCAATGGACGAGAATTTATTACC